TTTCTCGGAGATGGCTGGGACAATCTTCCTGAATTTTTCCCCAAAGGACGATCACTGGTTGTAGTTGTGCAGTGAGGTCGTTCAGTTCCAATATGTCTACCGTTGCCATGGAAACCTGTAAAAAGCGACGAATTTTGTCCGCGAGTGTTCTCTCTGGTCCCTTAAACGTTCGTCATGAAACTTTTTTTATTTTAATGATTAGTATCTGTAGTTGTGCGATTTGCATTTAAAATTTTCAAATAATCGTTTATTGCCATGGAAACCAGGGGAATGTTAAAATTCTTTAATTTCGATTTTCTCAATAACTACTCAAGCAATCGTTTTTAAACTTTCAATGTTAATTCCTTGCAATGTGTCAAAGTGATTTCTCCTTTTAAAATAATTGTATTGAGTCGCTCACAGTTGTCATAGAAACGAAACAGAAAAAAAGGTTTAGATATACACATTTGTTCTCCAAGGTCTAGGTCAAAGGGTCAAAGTTCTTCGTGTCCAATAAAATTTCTTTTCACAAGGATTACATATTTGAAATACGAAAGCCCTAGCCCTTACCGTTCAAACGTCAGGTACTATGTTCAAGACGACCCCCCCCCCCCTTTTGAAGCGCACTGCCAGGTAGAATACACAGATATAACATATACAACTTACAAGTAACGTTTTAAAAGTTTCATTCATAAAATTCAGTTCTCCTGATGTGATTTGATAGTTTGCCAACATTCATTCTTCTTCTGTCTTGTCTCTAGATTTTATAATTATTTTATTTTATCTATATAAAAATAACGATTGTCAGCTACATTTATTAGCATTTCGCGTTTTCTTGTATATCTATTACTTGTATATTATTAATTTCATTAGATAGTGCAAGTATAAATTAGAAAATTGGTACGTTATTTCCATAGTTTTTATTTATTCATAAATCCTTGGATCCGCTCCTGCAGGTGCGCAAAGCGTCGATCACTACTGTAAACAAAACATTCATCTCGCCGAAAATGTTCATGATTCCGCTAAACTGAGAAAGTTTACACATGATTTATCATCTCATAACAAACATCAGCCCTGTGCAATGCAGAAATGTTCGAATTGAAGGGGAAAATTCAGGAGTTATATTGATGGGGAAAATTCAAGAGTTATTATGTCGCCCCGAACGAAGTCGGGGACGACATATTGCGATTGTACGCATGTTTTTTCATCCAGGCTGTTTCTCGGAGATGGCTGGGACAATCTTTCTGAATTTTTCCCCAAAGGACGATCACTGGTTGTAGTTGTGCAGTGAGGTCGTTCAGTTCCAATATGTCTACCGTTGCCATGGAAACCTGTAAAAAGCGACGAATTTTGTCCGCGAGTGTTCTCTCTGGTCCCTTAAACGTTCGTCATGAAACTTTTTTTATTTTAATGATTAGTATCTGTAGTTGTGCGATTTGCATCTAAAATTTTCAAATAATCGATTATTGCCATGGAAACCAGGGGAATGTTAAAATTCTTTAATTTCGATTTTCTCAATAACTACTTAAGCAATCGTTTCGAAACTTTCAATGTTAATTCCTTGCAATGTGTCAAAGTGATTTCTCCTTTTAAAATAATTGTATTGAGTCGCTCACAGTTGTCATAGAAACGAAACAGAAAAAAAGGTTAAGATGTACACATGTGTTCTCCAAGGTCTAGGTCAAAGGGTCAAAGTTCTTCGTGTCCAATAAAATTTCTTTTCACAAGGATTACATATTTGAAATACAAAAGCCCTAGCCCTTACCGTTCAAACGTCAGGTACTATGTTCAAGACGACCCCCCCCCCTTTTGAAGCGCACTGCCAGGTAGAATACACAGATATAACATATACAACTTACAAGTAACGTTTTAAAAGTTTCATTCATAAAATTCAGTTCTCCTGATGTGATTTGATAGTTTGCCAACATTCATTCTTCTTCTGTCTTGTCTCTAGATTTTATAATTATTTTATTTTATTTATATAAAAAAATAACGATTGTCAGCTACATTTATTAGCATTTCGCGTTTTCTTGTATATCTATTACTTGTATATTATTAATTTCATTAGATAGTGCAAGTATAAATTAGAAAATTGGTACGTTATTTCCATAGTTTTTATTCATTCACAAATCCTTGGATCCGCTCCTGCAGGTGCGCGAAGCGTTGATCACTACTGTAAACAAAACATTCATCTCGCCGAAAATGTTCATGATTCCGCTAAGCTGAGAAAGTTTACACATGATTTATCATCTCATAACAAACGTCAGCCCTGTGCAATGCAGAAATGCTCGAATTGAAAGTGGCATGTCAGATTCGTTTTCCGGCAGAACCTCTAAAAATGAAAGTGAAAGAAGGGAAATTTCAGAGTTCTCACTGGCATTATAATACACAGAATAATTCGGCTGATCTTCTTAATAAATTACATTTGCCAAGCTTTTTTGGTAGGAAAGATACTGCCAATTAACAAGTATGAGGCTGAGTTCAGTACATCTGCCCAATTTTCTTTTATGCAAGTCTGCAAATTTAGGAACTTATAATTTTTTCCTGCACTACTTTCTTCTCCTACCGATTCTAAAAATAATTAGTGGGATGTACCCAATTAAGGTCTTCCGTTTCCAACGGAAAGGACCATAACTTTCATGGTAAGCGTTTCCAAGATTCAAAATTATTTTATCGAACACAACTGTCTGTTCAGCAGAAAAACTAGCATCATGCGATAACCTTGCAGTGAATGCAATGAGACTTTTACCTAAATTAGAACATATAAAATCAATTTTGAACCGACAACAATTAATCTTATAAGGTAAATATGTTTAAAAATTTTTGCTTAAAGCTAGGTAATACAAAATGACTACATTTCTCAGGTTTCAGATCTGAAAAGTAAAAAGTGTTTTTGCTGAACATCCTTACCAGGCTGAATATTTCATAGAGATGAATTAAAGCTAAATATAAAAATCAGCATTTCATAAGTCTTACCTTTAATTATATTAAGATTAAGCACAAAAAGTTGGTAAACTGGGTGAAAAAACATGTATTCTTTGAAAAAATAGGCAATGGTTTAATACGTAAGTCATATACTGAATAAAATATGAAACACCGTGCGAGGAAACCTTTAATGCAAAGTCATATTGGGGAAAAAACTTGAACAAGCTAACACTTTCGGTAAGGCCCATCTACATAATAAGAATAATCAAAGACCGATAAAGACATTTATAAATGATTAAAGGAAACTTAAAACTTACCAGTAATGATATTTGTTTTCAGTAGTTTTGTTTCATTTTTCAGTTGATTGATCTCACTTTGAAAGTTCGCTCTAGTGTGTGGCAGACTTGTATTCAGCTGTTGGACAAGTTACTTCAAGTGTGCAACTTCATTTCCGTGGTTTGGTATATTTAAACACAAACATCCATCTCCGTACACCATTCCAACAACAAAAAGTTTTGTAAAAGATAACATATAGTTTATAAATTTTCCAAAATTTTAAAACCTTACTTAATTTTAAAAGCGAAACAGATTAAGTCTGTTCAGAGGTGTACTTTAGAAAGCTGAACAAATAGCGAAATATATATATAAAACGCGTTAGCAACAAAGGTATTTAAGATTTGATATTACCGATTACTGCTTTTTTCGTTTGGCCTCTCTGAAAGTGTTGTGTAGAATCATCTATCAAAACCCTGTTTTGTTGCTCTCTCCTTACTGACTGGTTAAAATATCTAGACTAAATTCTCATTTTAATTTCCAGAAATGTATTATAATCATTTGTTTATTATTATTATTATTATTATTATTATTATTATTATTATTATTATTATTATCATCATTATTTTTTACATTTCGGAAATTCAGCATTGATTGTTGTTGAAATATTCTTGAGGAATATTTTTCTCGCCCATCCACAATGAGAGGGGCAAACAACTTTATAGAATTTCCTTAAGTGCAGAAGTGATTCACCCCCGCAAAATTTTTGGCTGAAATTATTGCTATTTTATTAACATTTCCTACCTAATATCCAAAAATTATTTATTTAATGAATTAATCCAAATATACATGTACGTAATTTTATACTGAATATTCCACGTGTCATTTATATTTTATGAATGTCAACATCACAGCTTGAACTGATCTGCCATGTTTACTGACTTTGATTAATCTTAATTTTGAACAGTCAGTGCTATTTATCTAAGATAAGTAATGCCATACAACACAATTATTCATCAACTCCGACACTTTTTGTGCCTCTTGATTTCCAAGACATGATTGGACATATTTTATAAAGATTACTGAAGGGTGGTACTTTTTTTAAAATTGTAATTAGATGGAAATAGCTGACCATGCAATGTATGCACAATTTCAAATTTCTCTCAATAACTACTTTTGAACGAAATAAATTTTCCCTTCTTCATATTACCAAGGTAATGTGGTAGAATGTCGTCTGAGAATTTTCATTTAAATCTTAGCTCTTCTATTTCATCCTCTTCCTCGTGATTAAAGTATCAGTTGGATATTAATTAAATAACACAAAGTTTTCTTTTCCAAAATTCAGATATCTTTACTAAATTAGGCGCCTCTTTCACTCTGCATGGACGTTATATTTGTTACGTTTAACAACTAAATTTTTAAATAAGCCACACAATATGGAAAAAGGTGCAAAAGTACAACTTAATAGTTCTTTCTTTCTTTTTTAAGTTTTTAAAACGTATGAAGTTTTCTTGCTTTAGAGTTTCTTGGGATATTTTCAATAGTGTATTTATATATTTGAAACAAGCAAAATGTCTTAATCACATTTCCATTGAAATGAAATATCGAAAATTTATTAGTGTAACTGTTTGTGGTATGTAATCTTAAAATCTTGCTTTAAGCGATTATTGAGAAATTATATAAAAAGACTTGAACTTTTTTGGATCATTTTTTATTTACATCAGTTCTCAAAAACAAAGCTTTATACGTAGTATTTGATTTTTTATCCACTTATAAACATATAAACATAAGACAAATATTATAATTTTTATGCAACATTTAAATTGAGACTTCTTGGAATTTTATTTTTAGTTATTGAATCAGAAATCCACTAAAAATACAGTAATATGACTCGTCTAAGTTTGCAGTTGTAGTAGCCTTGACAAAGACAACATCAGCGGCTTCTAATTGCACGATAACAATGGACGATGAAGAATAGAAGGTACCACTTCTTATATAAAGCATTGACAACAGCTGGTTTCCGTTTCTCATCAAAGCAAAATAAGATTCTTTTCCATCGTTTAACAGCGATACAGCAAACTGGTAAACACCTCTTACCGGAGCTGTGAAATGTCCATAACTTTCATGGTAAGCGTTTCCAAGATTCAGTATTATCTTATCGAACACAACTGTCTGTTCACCCAGCAATTCTACATCGTGCGATAGTCTTGCCGTGAAAGCTATGAGACCTAAAATTAAATGTACAAATTTTAAATTTTGGTTTTAAATAACTTTTCCGGGAAAAAGCTACATTTGAAGTGAAATACAAAGATAAGATGTTATACATGGCAAATGTAATGTAAGAAGTTTTCGTATTTCGATAATTTATCCACCAAAAATGCATTAACAGCTGTTTTAGGTCAAGATCCATGAAAAGATGGCGACTACAAGAGTGTGTGTTTCTATACTTGGTAAAACTATTTATAGAATCCTTATAAATATGTCTCTGTTAAATACGGTGTATCTTAACATTTTAAAGGTTAACTTGACTAAAACAAACAAACTTTAAAATGAAAGTTTGCCAAAGAATCTCAGAAAAAGGGTAATGAAGATATTGTCACAGTCTTTGAAAATATCCTCTTGACCTCATCTTTAAAATGATATTAAATATAATATGTGAAACAGATTTAATCTTAAGGGACTCCGACCCTCAGACAGGAAGAACAACTCTTTAATTTATAATTTAATTAAAAAAGTATCAAAATGAAGCTTGAAAATTAAATATTTTCATGCAACAGTTTTCATTATATGCCTCTAAATGTGCTTCAAGGTTCTTTGCAAAGCTCAATAAATCACTTCTAATTTCATATCATGTTAATAAACATTGGTATCTAAAAATGCTATTACGGGATAAAAATTCCACTTTTAATTATACCTTTCTGGGAAGTTTAAAGAACCTTGAAGCACACTGAGAGGCATACAATAAAAATTGTTGCATGAAAAGATTAAATTTTCAAGCTTCATTAAAAGACTTTTTAAATTAAATCATAAATTAAAGATTTGTCCTTCCTAGCTGAGGGTCTGAGTCCCTTAACATGATTTAAAATCGAATTCAGTGTAATGCTTTATTTTTTACAAAATTCTATCATGACATTAGATACGGGAAAAATTTAAAATCAATTATGACGTCATAATGAAGTACTTATAAAATTACTAAAGTTTAAAGATAATATTGTCAAAAGTCTAATCGAAATTGCAGTTTGAATGTTGAGTAAAGTTGTAAAAGCAATTACACTTGTTATATTAGTAAAAATTGACTTGCTTTAAAAACTTACTTTGTGCATTGATTTTTGTTTTCAGCAGACTGGTTTCCCTTTTCAGCTAATCAATTTCATAATTCACAGTGTGTTGAAGACTAACATTAAGCTGTTGGATAAGTTGCTTCAGGTGTCCAATATCATTTTCATGGTTCGTCAAATTCAAACAGAAACCCCTTTCTCCATGCAACAATCCAACAACAAGAAGAATTTTTAAAGCTGACATTTCTCCTTATTTTTCAAATATTATAAATCTGTCCCTGGTGTAGTTATATGTTTATGAAGACGTTGGTCCGAAATATGGACCAAATAGATAACTTATAATCATAAGTAATTTTGGAGGCATACTCTTCACTTCTTTTACCGATAAGACTAACAAAACATTGTGTCGTTACTGGGATTGGTTAAAGATAAGGTTTGATGTAAAATAACACAGCACACCATAACATTCAATGAAACTTACCTGATGCACGGTAAATAAAACATAAAGGCTATTTTTAATTTAAATTCTTTTTTCATATATTTGAAGAATTATTATTTTCCGAGTTGACAACCTCCTTATATGCTACCTTCAATGTGTTATTCTTAACGAATAATGATATAAGTAAAGGAAATAAATGACACTAATTTGTCATCAGCTTATCTTTCAAATTTGATGTTTTACCAGAAAGACATTGACGACAAACTAAACTTCATGAAAAAAATAATGATATCATTTTTTTCTTCCCTTAATTTTGTACCAATATGCATTTATCATTTTTATACGGAGTATATATCTGCAAGTTGTTACTATCTGAAATCATATTCAATTTCTAAAATTAGGCACACTAATAACAAATAAGTTGATAAGACAAAGATATTTCAATCTTACAAATTCGATGGTCTATACAATGACCCTGTTTACAAATATTATCTTTTGCTATGTCGAATATTGGAAGACCTCTCTCATCAAAATTGATCCACTCTGAATTGTGTACAGAATTATAAGCCTACATAATCATGACAAGGTATGCATACTGAGTGAGAATGTTCGACAGGAGAGGCTTCCTTCACCAATGCACCCGATTCCAGCTATATTTGTTTGACAACTGTTCATTATCTCCCATTTCGTGTTAAATTGACTTATTTGCTTGAGATTTTTTTGTTTTGGGTTGCTTAATATCCTACCAACACGTAGTACACTTAAATGGTTATTCGAAATATATGGATGAGGTAAGCTTACCTGATCCCAGTATTAAAATGACTCAATCTACATAAGTATATGAATTTGTAGCCAAATCTTTTTTTGGTAAAGAAAGGAGAAAAACACCTTTCGCTTGTTAAATGGCATTATTTTTTTTTCAATTTAGTATGTTCCTTAAATTGCTCGTACTTTTAAATAAAACGTTTTGCCGTGTGAATACCACTGCAAAAATAACTGAAAATTAATTGAAGGTAGTTTTTATACAAATACCAATCCTTTTGATATACAGTAGCCTAATTTGCAATTAAAAAAAAACATAGTTTTACATCTACCAAAATTCATATTGTCTGTTCTCCTTAGTAATCACCTTCTACTAGACCCACTGTATTATATGTATATATGTTATATATGTTTTTGTTCAATTCTCATGTACCATTTACATGGTTTTGAGTGAATAAATTGAGTTGAATTGAACCAGTTCGGCAGTAATTTGAATTTTTACAACATAAGCTTGTTCCTTATTTTTCCTTATATCAATCGAGATCTATGTATTTGAATTACTGAGGTTATGGCATGCTTAATTTCGCGCAGTTCTATTTTTGGACGGAATGATTAGATTTGGATAGATTTTGTGTCAAATGACATTGGGTGAACATATTTGTTTACACTCTAAATGGGGAGATTTATTAAAATATTACATGTATTTGAATTAGAATTTGTTTAAGCTTGACAATTTTTTTTATTATGAGTCTCCAAACCCTTCAGATTTCAGTACATTTTATCTAAGGTTATTAATGTAATAAGCATATCCAGGGTTCAGATTATAACTTTTTTTAATCTTTGACCTTTAGCATGGACTTTGTCAACATGATTATAAATGTATCTTTAAATAGCAAAAAGTTTTTTTTAAAGAATTTTATCTTAAATTTCATGCACCATATATTGAACGTGCGGGTCCTTTCTATTCTACTGCTGAGCATTATTGCTTCATGCATTGTTTTATTTCAGTTTTCAGTTTACTCAGAATTTCAAGTATCCAAAAAATATTCATTTTAAAGTAAATAATTTATAAAAGGGACAGATCTGATCAATTAAAAGAAAATTTTATTTTCATTTGCAATTACATAAGAATGCAGAATTCGATATATTACCAAAAAGTTTAATACATGTTGTATTCAGATTTGGAGAAATAATATTCAAATTATAAAATTTCCTTTTCTGATTCATTTTAAACTGTTTTTAAACTTATTTCAATAATGTAATTTGTGGTTTAAATGTTTGTTTTTAAAGTGATTTACTAATTGGAGAGGATGAAAGAATCTTATTTGCCGCACATATTTTCAAATGAATTTAGAATAATAACAAATATAAGGTCTTTATTAAGCTCAAACAGAGAGAATTACAAAATAATAGTATCGGAGCTCATTTTGATAAATGCTACTTTTAAAAAAATTATATACATTTTGTGTTTTTCAAGGCTGTGTAACATCAGAGAGCTATCCTGTTATCCTTTTTCCGTTTACGTATCCCCCAGATGAACTAAGCATTTTTGCAAAACTTTCAATAGACACAGACAACGGATCATATACCACCATAACCCATAGAAGTCGCTCCATTGAGCGGCCTGCTGGATCCAACATGAGAATTTTAAAGGAATTTCCAATCATTTCTGGAATATTTACCATAACCTTAACAAAAATAGCAGATGTAGTCATGGAAATTCGGGAGTCAAGGCGAAGTTATATTTTCAACATACAATCTTTGAAGGATCTCGGGAAGGAATATGTATTAATTTCCTCCAGTGAAATAAGCCATAGCTATAACTGTCGAGTTTCGTCCAAATCAACAAAAGATATTGTTGTAAATGTTAGGGCACCTCCAAAAATACAACATGGCTTAAAATTAAATGGCACCTGCTCTAGAAGTGGACATTGTCTCTTAAAGACTGACATGTTTATTGAAAGCCCATCTCCGCTATATCAAACTATCATTGCTTCCTCTGATGACAAACTTATAATCTTTTGCAAAGATGATTCCATTTTTCAAGTCTTGCCTAAAAACAACTGTGGAACAACTTTCCAGATGGCTTGTCCTATGTTTAATTCAACCCACGTAAGCAACTGTACAGTAAAAATTAACAATGTGCAATCAAGGAGGCAATATATAACGATCAATCGCAGCATTCAAAATATCCTAAACTTTATTGAAATTCCACTAGAAAAGGGGAAAAGTCTTAACATTCAGTCAGCTTACGATATTTGCGTTTTGTTTCTTGAAAATTATTATTATGCTTCCGGAAACTCCGTAACAAGAACACAAATGCTTTCCTCAACAGAAACCCAGTCAATTCTGTCAACATCTAAACAAACCTCCTCTTTTGTGGATATATCCGAGTCGACCCAGACGATTAGTTTTCTGACAACTATTATAAAGAGTATTAAAATGCAAGGACAAACTAAAGCTGCATCTGGAAGTAAAAGCAGTGAAGGAACCGAGAACAACACAGCTACAGATGTTTTATCAATAAATACTTTTTACACAAAGTGGATGAGTGTGTCTTCGCAACAAAACAATAATATATCCACAACTGACAGGTACATAGATATTAAGCCGTGGATAGGCAGTACTCTGCCTTCTTTAATTTCAAAACATGTCAATCCCAGTTCGAAAGATCTATTACTCGGGAAAAAATCCACAACTCTGCCAATTATTTCTTCAAAATATGTAAATCCTTTTTCAACAGATCGTTTTCTCAGAAGGGATACCACGACTAATATTGATCAGAACTACACAAAATTTGTAGGTGAATCAAGAAAGATCTGTAACTGTGTTTGCAGCAGCACAAAACAAAATAATAACGTTACGAGATTTAAAGACGTCAACCTCCATGAAATTATTAAGCAATTAAGGATAAACAAATCTGAATTATCTTCAGAAGTTAGAAAGACCTCTTGTGCAGAGGACGGTAGAGCATCAGCTAAAGGAATTGGATATGTAGGAGCAGTGGTTATTATTTTAGTAATGGCTACAATCGTCTCTTTTGATCTGATCAATCTATTTCAGAAATGTGGACATTGAAGAGAACATAAAACCAACTGTTAGAAAAACAGTTGAATTTTAAGGACATCTAGATGCCTCGTCCGTGTGACCTGTTCAATTATGCATCACATTCATTTAATTATCTAAAGATATACTCAGTAATTGAAGCTATTCAAGATGTCTATGTGGTTTTGATTGTAATAAATATTGCTTTGAAGAGTTATTTATCTGTAAACTGCTGAAGTTATATAATAAAAAATATGTTTCTATAAAAAATTACAAAAGAATTGTATATATTTATTTTTGAGTGATTTCTTTAAATTATTTAAATGTTCTTTTCCCTTTATTAAAATAATCAATTTTAAAAAATACATATTATCCATGATTTAATAGTGGATGTCACACTCACATGTCCTTTTCTGATCCATGTATTTGGAAGATTATGTCAGCGAACATTGTTTAAAATTTATAAATATTTTATACCACACTCTTGAACAATAACCACTAGAAGATGTTTTTCTTGCGAGTATCTTTAGATACAAAATCGTTTCCACTAAAAGAACCTTTCTCAACGATCTGCAGTGGGATTCGAACTTGCAATGTAAACATGAAGAAACACTATTCACTGCGCCAGTCAGTCGTAAATTATGGACGTGAAACGATAAATAATTAGTAACATAAATAATGGTTTGAAAAAGAGGAAAGAAAGCTAGCCGTGGAAATTTTAAATAAAGGAACCACATTGTACAAAGACCGTGCTCCCATTATCGACTGTGTTTCAGATATTTTTTTTCTTTTTCATTAAATATTACGAAACACACGGGCGATTCTAATTTGATGCCCATTTATAGAATAATTCTAATGAGATGCTTTACTGTGTATTTTTTAAATACCATTTAATTTTACATAATGAATATTTTAACTGTAACTAAGAAGAACTGACTAGAAAAGATACACTTTAATGAGAAGAGTGTAACCACTTCCTATTAAATTCTTGACCCTTAATTCCTTTCTTTTCCGTTTTTAAAGAAACAATCCACCAAGCAAACCTTTATTTATGTTACCAAAGATACAAAAAGAAGCCTGACCTTAAATCGCTTATTTTTTCATACATTTCTATTATATATGATAAGA